GTCTTGCAGTCAGAATCATTAGTACTATAATCCGTAATTGCCTAGTCTTTGGAAACTTCTAAATTGCCCCGTGCAGATTTCGGAAAACTTTTCTTTTGGAAAAAATCAGACTGTTCCAGGCTAACAAGCAAACATCTTTGTAAATTTTCCAAACGAAAAAACTTCTTGAATGCTTCCCTTTCCATATTGTTGATGTTGTGTTGTGGACGCATTGTGCTCTGAAGTATTTACATTTTATTTTAGGAACTGTACCATTTAAAATGACAAAGGTGCGATTATATGAATACAAATAAACTGGCAGGATTCCATTCTGGATTGTTGTGAGAAAATCGAACTGTTTGGCTATTTTTTCTCGTTTTCATTTTCTCCGAGGCTTGACGTTTTTCTCCTATTCATTTAATTCGTCACAGAACCCGAGGCCTTAACGGATGATTAAACTATAAACAGAGTCAAATACTTTTGTCCTTATTAAAAGGTTCCTTTGCTAAACCAATCCCTGAGTTGGCAGAGGGCTCGTCTGTTTACTCTTAAACTCAACAGCTATATATTATGAAAATAAACTGATTTTGCGATCTGGTTATGACAATAGTAAATCTAAAGCTGGCTAAAATTAAACGTGCCAGCAAGGAAAACGAAGTATGAGTGGCGAAACGCTGTACGGATTTGTTGATGTATCGATTTTCTGACTTAATTATGCGATGGAGCAGGTTTTTCGGACAATTTTGCAGATGTTGCCTGTTTTTTGAAACGGGTATTATTCTTAAATCGAATTTCTCAAATGTGAAGGCGTTCATTAAAGCGTTTAAATGCAGTACATATCTGTTACAATAGTAATACGGTAGATTATACGTGGTACATTAAAACTTATATACACCGAAGTGATGGATGAGTATATTATGACAGTCGATCATTTATCTAAATACACACAGTACCAGTATAGACCAGTTGGCGCGTTTACGGGTTTTTATTGAACGACAAGAGCTCTCAAGCTTATCGGTAACTGAATCTCGGCGGATCTTAAATCCGAAATTGCGTCGTTGAAAACATTGTATTGGCGGGTACTGGGTACACATTGAGAGTTGTGCGAGAGACTGTGTCTGGTATGGTATACGACTATACATCAGGTTAGATGGGTTTAAGTTCAGCCCCACGATGGAACTGAAACTCCACCATCTTCGACAAGAACAGTAAAAGTGAAATTAGATTTGCTAACTGGCTCGTAGTGATAAGGCGCACTGTACAGCAGAGCAGCTTTCGTTTTTAATTGAAGCAATAAATAAAATAACAAAGGTAGAGCGTAATTGGATATATAGTGTGAGAGTTATATTTTCGCTGTATTTCTTTAATTTGGGGAGGGCTGTAATGCACGATGTTGACTACACGCCTGGCTTAAAAATTCGAGAAAATTAGCTTTGTTTTGACAGTGTTTTGTTTAGTAGTGTATCACCTGGTTTTATAAGCCTGTATGTGAGCTTTCGGGTTTTAAACACGCTCTCGGCCTTAATTAAGAATTTAACGCCTGTCTAGCCATTTAAATGCAACTGTGTGTAATTTCGGTATTATGTCCAGCGACTGTAAATATGACAGGGGTAGTGTGCAATCACTTCATCGGCAAACTGGTCATATCAGACGTGTGATATGCCTATCGGGTGTGACGCTTACCTGACATAGGCTACATGGAAAAGCTGTAATAAAGTAGACTAATGTGCAGGTTGATTATAGAGCATTGCAGTCATAACCCATATTTCTGAAAATGGCGAACCTTGTTCCCAGTGTGGCCTATATGCATACGTGGTATGCAAATATCGAGTAATTTGGATGAAATCTGATGTTGATGTTAATAGGGATTATTTTTTCCTAGCTGTGCTGGTCAGGGGCATTGGGGTAGTGGCGGAATTTATGCTACTGCCTAACGTTTTCTCACTCTGCTTCGAATCGATGGCACCCCATCTCTATAAAAACAACAGGCGTCTTTATCTTATGGTTAATGATAAATTAGACCTATACTTCACCTTAACGGCCCCGGTGGCAGGGGTGTATCTAGCATCTCGGACTGTGTTTGAGTCTTGGCTTTAGGAAGTCGGATGTGCTGCTCAAACCCGTATGAGGCGAACCGGCCCTTGAGGAGATGTCTGGCTTCGGCTCAGCTACCATTGTCCGGAGACAATACCTGCAGCCCCGAGAGACAATTCAGCCTGCACAAGGCAGGGAAATTACTGCCATTTTTTTTTCAAACGAATTGATTTTTTGCATGCAATTCCGCATAAATTCAAATGATAAAATATTACACCATATTGGTTTCTGTAATTTGGTTTCTGTAATTTTATTCAGCAACCGATAACAAATGGTTTCATTTTTCGGACACTTGTGTACAGAGAAGTATATTGTTGTAATTTAAATAATAAAACCTGCACCCATTCGATTAATTGTATCTCTACATTTTCTGTGCGTTTTTTTTGCCTCCTTTTATTTTATTTTGGTTTACTTGTTTTGTTATAAGCCTTGTCGTAAGGGAGAGAGACATATTAGTGTAGTGTAGTGACGTGTAGTTTTCTCGAATAATTATTCAATTATTCAATAATTAATCCTCTGTACTTACCAACCCAGCTAAGTACAATGTTTGGATTTGAAATTTAATTTGTCATGGTGAATTCATGAATGTTTTAATGTTTATTATTTTCCAAAGAGATACTGAGTACAAAGTGACCTTTTTTCTGTTTTAACTTTATATTACAGCCATCTTTTCGGTTTCCAGCTGATACATAAACCTATTTCTTTAATCACCCCCGCACCGAGCGTTTTTTCTCCTTTTCGGTAAAGAGACGGAAGGAGCCGGGGGGGAATTAGTGAGGGCCGGTCTGCCCTATCTCGAAACGACCCTTTTTCAGCTCTTCTGTTCCCCTAATTACGGCGAGTTTGCATGTCCACTCGACAGTGCGAGTGTGAAGTTCATTCTTGTCCGTCTAGACTCTAATTACGACCTTGTTTGTCTTTCCTTTTCCACCTTGACCTTGGACTTCCTCCCAGCTGCCATTTGTAAGAACCATCAATATTTGTCTGTTCTCTGAGCCCCGCTGTCCGAGATGCTGAAGCCAGAGTTCAAAGAGCTTCGGTCTCCGATTGAACCTTCCTCTCCCTTAAATATAATCGCTTCTCTTTCTTTGTTTCGAAACCCCCTTTTTGTTGACCAAATGCTAACTGAGTCCTTACCAGCACACCTGATGCATTTCCTATTGTTTCTGAGGCCGAAGTACAATCTGCCGTCTTGTCCAGTTATCGCCGTGATCGCCCTGCCGATCCTGTGAATTGTAGTGTCATTAGAAAATGCCGAGACAAATCCATCACCCTGAACTGCAAGCAGTGAAAACACATTTTGGTTGCAACACTAACAGGAATGCATGCTGTACCCCCGGTACATGCACACGCACACATTCATGGCTTGCATTTATTTCAAGAGGGTAGCATTTGGTGCCGCATGAAGTTTACACTGGCCTCTCAATGGGTCGACTTTCTTGCACGGTCGTGTAAGCAATGCACTGCGCGAAATCTCATATTAAATAACCAACAGGTTTTCGCAATGGCCTGTATAGGGAAACCTGGAGTCTGCAGCGCACTGAATTTCGCAGCACCGTCAAGACTACGGTGAGACTGGGATGAGCACACGGGAATTCAGAAGCGGTACGGGAAACGGCTGTTTCGGCAAAATTGTTATTTTAGCACCTGCTCAGCATATACGCTCTGAACATAGTGATTAAAGCGCCGGATGAAAAACATTTAATGTGCGAATAATATATGAATTGAGCTGCCTGTATCCAATCATTCCTATCACGGTTTTTGTTGTGGGTTGGTTTGTCATGTCTGTGCCCCGCTAAAAAGAGAGCGACCAGCTCCACCCGCCCGTCTGCTCCCTCGGTTTTGTGTTCAAACCCGGCCACCGAGCAGCAGTCCCGCCCGGGCTCAGCCCGAGCGCTGCAATGGAAACTCGCAGATTTTGAAGAGAGAACGAATCATTCGCTTTAAGTAGCTATTTCCCCCCGTAATTAAAAACAATTGTAAACTGATTTTATTTTATATTTTTAACATTGTAAGAAATTACGCGCTGATGCCCAGTTCCTTTGACTTGGTCAAGAAAAGAAAGAAAAGTTAATTTTTTTTTTCGGTCTTACGGATTCGGGTTTTAAAGGTAAAAACTTTCTTTTAGCAGCGTGGTAACAATGGGATATTTGGAATGTTTTGGAGTTACAGAAGCAGCGCCACATTGATACATATCCAGGTCTATTTAATGTGTGAAACTAAAAAGAACGTCTTGTAAATGTTTTTTTTTGATAAAGTACACATTTAACTACACAAATTTGTATTTTTTGGCATTAAGAAATATACAAGTATTTTAAGAGTACACAGAGACATCCAACAGATCGTCTTTTTAACAAATATCCATGAATTATGTGTAATATCGTTACCCACCCTTGCACCAGTGCGCATTAGAAGGCCGGCAAGGCCGCTTGGTGTAGCTATGATTGACAGACCAGAGAGTTTCCAAATAGATTTTAGACAATTTCCTGTCGTCTTACCAGCAAAGTCTGGATGTCCCGCTTTTGGATCTGAACGCTTGTTGGTTTCATTCATCGATATCAGTACTGAATCGGAATTCGCAGGCAAGAGGGTAAGCGTCTGACAACCGTAATTTGAAATGGGTATATTTGCAGGAGGCAGAACATCGGAAATAATCTGACTGTCTGAGTTCGAATACGCAGCATTTTGATGCATCATGAGTTTTTCACATCTAATCCATCCGGAGCGTTATGATTATTTAGCATTATTTAACTGAGTGTTATCTGTAATCGGGGTTTACACCGAAGTCGTGGTCAGTGGATCGGAACGATGTAAACAAAATGTTTACTTTCAGGGCTGAGATTTTTAAAGGTCGGCTGAACAGTTGAGAGTGCATATCCCCCCCCCCCCCCCACCATTCGATCACCCAGGGTGTCGATCTTCGCCTTTAAGGTTTTTCTCGTTTAAAGAGACTTCAGCCAATGGGAGTATCGCTCCTCTTGAAAAGGCGGTCAAGAAATACGAGATGGGCGCAGTTTAAAGGGGAGGCTGTGGTTTCCAGCCTCTTCCCTGTAGCTCCTCTTCGGCCTCGTTAGCATATCACGTGCCCGCGGCTTGGAGCTTAATGAACTGGACACTCGGCACCCCCCTGGCGCGCATGCGCCGGCGTAAAAAAATGTGCTTGGAAATGAGGTGTCGGTCTTGGAGTAGTCGACTTTTAAAAACCATCGGCAGCCCGTGATATGACGACTTCGCTGGTTCTGCATCCACGCTGGGCGGACACCTTGATGTACGTGTATGAAAAAAGCCCGAATGAGAGCAATCAGAATAAAAATCCAGCCATGGAGGGACTGAGCGGGAATTGCCCCGCGAGCCACTGCAGGGATTTGATCTCGCACCCAGCGCTGGGGCGACATTCCGGCAGCATAGCGACCCCCCAGGGTTCCGTGTACTCGGATATTTCATCTCCAGACACCGGCAGGCAGTGCCCCGCTCCCCAGACTTCCTCCAGCGCCACCCTGGGCTACGGCTACCCTTTCGGAAGCCCCTATTACGGATGCAGGCTGTCTCACTCGCACAACGTGAACTTGCAGCAGAAGCCCTGCTCTTACCACCCGGCGGAGAAATATGCGGAGTCCGGCAGTGCGCTGCCCTCGGAGGAACTGTCCAGCAGGGCCAAAGAGTTCGCCTTTTACCCCAGTTTTGCCAGCTCTTACCAGGCTGTCCCGGGCTATTTAGACGTGTCAGTGGTCCCCAGTATCAGTGCGCACCCGGAGCCGAGGCATGACGCCTTGATTCCCATGGAAGGCTGTCAGCACTGGGCTCTGTCTAACGGGTGGGACGGACAGGTGTACTATTCCAAGGAGCAAACACAGTCCACTCACCTCTGGAAATCTCCTTTCCCAGGTACGTGAACGTGCGTTTTACTGCATAATACACACTGATAAATCTACACTTTTCTTGAACGTTTTTAGCTTTTGCATACTCGGGAGCCAGGAACGTAAACAATAGTGCACGCACTGTGCCTGCGCCTGAGATTCCACTTTCGCAAGGAAAGGTCCTGCTCCTTTTCCGAACTACAAAATGTCGCTAGGAGCATCAGGTTTGTGTGTTATTACTACATCCATGCTATATTACCACATCAAGGCACTGTAACGTTAGATGTAGGAAGTAACTAAAATCGGTACATTTAATATTTAGGAACATCTCCCACGCGTCCTCAGCCATGGATCATTTGCACTGTCTATGCACGACATGATTCCCGTTTTATCCAGAAAAGTCAAGCTCGCTCGTCTGCTTTTGCATGTCTTCTGGATCTCGAGAGCGGTGATAGTGCTGTGATTATATAACTCTAAAATATGTTGCTTCTGATCTTTAAAACAGCAGTGAAGGGAAAGGAACAAGTTACTGCTTTCCAGTCACCGGGGTTTCAAGACAAAGCAAGATGGTCTTGCTTGACCAGCATAACAGCTTTTAAAATAACTTTGAAATGAGTCGAATCCATTGCAGAAATCACTTTCAGCAGAAACCGAAGGCAAAGGAACACAAAACATCTTAGTTTAAGTTATGAAGTGTCTGAAAAAATTACACGTGCACATTTAATAATAGCATAGCTTTGCATGCACGATGCGGTTTCGAGAAGGCTTGGAAACGAAATCTATCCCACTCGAAGGATGTCTGCTATACTGCTTAAAGTTCACAGTCACGCACACCGAATCAGGGCAAGTCGACATGCCTTCGCATTGCCTGTCTGGTAAAATAGCGGGTATACTGTTTGTGCTGAGCTAATAAATTCTGCTGTCTCGGTTTGTCACAGAGCAGGGTAGCCGAGCTCTGTGCCTTGCACAGCTTAGAAATGCTTTGCGTCAGTACGAATTCACTCGAGACGTGTTTGGAAGGGGCTGCATGTGTGAAAGCATCACCCCCGCCACTTTGCATATGATCTTTTATACGCGTAGTCGCTGCGTGCATTATTACAAATGGAATCCACTTCTGTATACAGCATTGAAGTTCATGACGAGTGTATGCACTGGTCACTATTTTAAATGCTCTGTTAACGAAGGGCATTTAATATTTGCGAAATGGCATACCTTGAACCACTGTGCAATATGCTAGCTAAATTACGTTATGTGATTCTCATTTACCAGGGAGGCGTTAGGAAGTTTATAAAATCTGGACATTCATTTCGGACAGTCGCTGCACGTTACTATTTCCACCCTTTGTGTGTGCGCGCGCGTGTTCGGGTCCTCTTCAGTGAGAACGCGCACCCAATTTCAATCATTTATATGACTGCGATGAAGACGGGTTAAAGGCAATGCTTACAATTAACCACGCGATGTTAATATATTTACATTGTCGAGATACACAGGAGGGGGGAGGCACAAACGGATACTCCGTTTACTGAATCCGTGAATGTGCAAGCCATAGATTGAGGCTCATGCAAATATAATCCGTTGCTTTGTCTGTTTTTTTCATTTTTAACACAACGATGTTAATCTAGAGTTACATTTTTTCGTAGGAAACTGCAGGACAAAATACTTACCTGAACTTTTTTCCCTATAAATAAATTAAAAGTGAGATGTTCATAAAAATATTTAAATATTAGTGCAATTGGGGGTCGTTGAAGAATAACATGTCAAAACAGAATTGACTATTATGTTCATTTGTACTATTATCACAGTTTGACTAGCAATTAGAAGGCGCTGCTCTTTGCGTGGCTACGGAGTAATTCTTCACCTTTCATGTCTCTGTGCTTCAGAAAAAAAACCCCACCTAAAATAAATTAGCACCCTCAAACAAAATACCAGACTTCGGGGTGCAATCTGCGAATTTAGGTAAACGTTAATGGACCACATTCCCAGCGAGGATTATATTTTTCTATTTATTTCGGTGAAATCTCGATGCAGGGTCATCGAGTTGAATCCAGCCTTGTTTCAGGCCGTCCTGCACGGGCTATAGCGCTTACGACCTCGTAAACAACGGCAATTAACATTCTCCAGCCCCGCTGCAGTCCACTGGCCACACACTCGTACAGAACCAAAACCCCAGTCCAACACGCCGCTAATTCTTGAAGAGCGTTTTAAGATATGTATGGAGGCAGAGTGTGATACAGCACTCATATTTCCATGAAAAAGGAGCGATTTCCCTCCTAATATTTAAAAGCAAGTGTTAAGGAATCTCTGTATACACTAATTTGCTTTTCGTTTGAATGGATATTGTATTGCATAGATAAATACAGTAAAGGAATGCACTCAGTTTAAATTTTCTTTATTACTAGGTGGTACTATTTATCGGCGAGGATCGTCAGTGTCTGAAATAGCTTTCCCTCACCCATTAAGTGGACATGCACGACAGCGAAAACAACATGGTGTTTTTCAAACAGGGCGAGGTGGTTTCGTGGTAATATCAGCGAAATGTCTCGAGCGAAAACTCAATCCACAGAATTTCTACAGTCAGCACTGAAAACAAAAACGATAAATCTTAGCAAGGCCTCCGCAGCACTGTTTGAAGACTACGTTTTGAGTTAAAATGTCGTTTAAAAATACCCCCACTCTATTTTTCTTAAAACTACTAATCTATATGAAAGGCGGATCTCTTTAAACTGAACAAGCTTTCACTGACATTGAATCAAACTCACTTTAAACACAGTGGACATTTAGGAGACACCCATCGTATTTTATGAAATATTGCACATATGCCGAGTAAGTAAACGTTATCTATATATCTATGTCTAGTCTATATATATAAAACTATATACACCTAAAGCCACACACTTTCGTCGTGGTCCATCTTTTATCTTTAAGCAACTCTGTCAAAGCAGTGCGTTTGATGTATGCAATATTGCATTTAACAAGTTAGTAATCCCATGCATAAAGATATATAAAGAATTTTGTTTTACGAAGCTAAGTTCAGATATTTTTAAATTAACCTTTGCGCGCGGTCTGTTACCATGCTCTTTTGAATTTAAAACTTGTTTATCGTATATAAACGCCAACAAAATCTAATCCACATTTTACATTTATTAAAATCTTTAGTCACCACTGTGCTTTGGGTAATGCACGACTGCATTAACACCAGTCATTGTGTTAAGCAGTGCTATTGTATTACGGTTTTGGTTACAGGACTGATTTGTCCAGTATGACCGGTCACGGTGTTTTCTGTAGTTCCATTGAGCTAATGAGCTCCGCTGCAGGAAGTATTTTTCATGCGTTAAGGTGGAGCTCTCCAAACGATAGTCCATTTAAACATCAAAACCAGGTAAATCCTGGACAACTGTGCACTTTTGTTAATGTGAAACAGATGAAAAAGTTTAACCCACAGAAGCTACCAAGCCGGGCGAAGGTCTCATTTCCGTCGCATCAGTTTCTTTACTCTCTCCGATTATGATATTGATTAAATTATATATGACACACGCGCGTCTATTCATATTGACAGAGTTTCTCGGCTGTAAGATTTTTTTTCGGGAACGCACAAGTTGTCAAAATACGTCCGAGTGGCTTAGTGGCTTAGATTTGACCACAGAACTGTGGTGACTGTATGGGGATTTCATTTTTCATTTTGTTGTGTATATTAAAATGATAATTTCAGCACCCCCTGCTGTCACTGTAGCCTGGCCCGACTGGTGCGACTTTGACGCATTCGGTGCTCTCGGCCGCACGCAACTGAAACGTGTCAGTGTGCCCTCCTACCTTGACTGGTAGCCCCGTACAGGGTGATTTATAATTTTAAAATTTAGTCTTAGCTTCACCGTCATCCTCGCTGACATCCTTTGTATTTTTGGAACGATTTTATTGTCGTGAAAAATACGAAATATGCGCGAAGTTAAGGTTTGACCGCCACTTTTGCGTCACGTGAAGCCCCGTCGCGCCTCGAGCTGTAGAAACGCGGACGTCAGAGGACTGTTCGGTCGACACAAATAAAATAAACTATTAGTTCTCTTGGAAAAGACGCATCTATTTCAAGGAACTGGGATCCAACATGTCTGCAAACATTACACGGTGTTCCAGTCTTTTGAATAAGATACGTGACTTGGTACAATAACGGTGCCATTCCCTCCAGTAACAGTGGAAAATATTATACATCGGCTGGTACAGTTTGGGGGTACGAGAAACATGCTAAAGATACACCCCAGCTGTTAGTGTCATCATTGCATATGGAATTAGGGCGCAAGAAATACCCGACTAAATTAACACTGGCGTAAACGCGTCGCGAATGCGTCTAGCTAACATACAAACTGTGAGATGTTTGCTGACCGTTGACAGAAATGACCTCAGCTCTCTTGTAGCTAGCATTCTGCCTCTGCTTGCTACGGAATTGGCAACCCACATTGATTTGTTTTTTTTTTTTAATTTACTGGGAGACCTTCATGCAAAAATGCTGTTGTCGTGTAACGCTCCTCAGTGTATTTGAGTTAGCTGACGTCTGCGCCACCGCTGTTCACTCCCGCGTTTGCCCTTCTTGTCTCGCAGATGTGGTTCCTTTGCAGCCGGAGGTGAGCAGCTACCGCCGGGGCCGAAAGAAACGGGTTCCCTACACCAAGATCCAGCTGAAGGAGCTGGAGAAAGAGTACGCAGCCAGCAAGTTCATTACCAAAGACAAGCGGAGGCGCATCTCCGCCACCACCAACCTCTCCGAACGCCAGGTCACCATTTGGTTCCAAAACCGGCGCGTGAAAGAGAAGAAATTCGTCAGCAAATCCAAGAACAGCACGCACGTGCACGCGACTTGATGCCCGCCGTCTGTCTTCCCTCCCCCCAGCCTCTCTCCGATCAAAAAACACAAAAAATCAATATTTATCCCACACGCTTGTATTATAATGCCCCCAACCTCACACGTTTTCCTTTCCAGTTTTGTTTTGTAAAATTGTATTTAATTCCTAAACGAAACAGCTGTTTTTCCCCCTACATTGCCTTTTTGTGCTTTGGAAAAATGCTCTAAACTGTGAAATCTTATATATAAGTAAAAAAAAAAATCAGTTCAACCACGCCTTTTCTATGAAATATATAAAAAATATTTAAAGTGATCTCTGTATTTTAACCAGACACCGCGGATTGATTTTTTTCCATTAGTTGACAAGTTGAACGGCAAAAATTTTTCTCGAAAGTTTTTATTCGAAATATACTTCCCCCCCAGTGAAAACAGGAAAAGAAAATCTGGAATTCGGCTATCTGGTGGCATTTTTATTGAAATCTTATAGGTACCTAGGATTTTTTCTCTTCGAAGACTAAAAATGTTTAGACATTTTACACTTCTTTGCTTTCAGCCTCCGTTCAACAACAGAATCGACGTTTTTTCAATTTTAAAACTGTTTAAATCGACAAAAAGACTCATCGACTTCGAAAATGACAACAGTTCTACCCGGGATATTTTACTTGTACCTTTTTGGTGTCTATAGGGTATACAAGCAAGGCTGCTATTGCTAAAATGTGTACAGTACATAACATTTATTCTTATTTAATTCTTAAGCTGTGGGTTCCTGCTCATAAGAGGGCTGTAGATTTAACAGTGTTCAGAATTTCATCTTTCTTTCTGCGCCATTGGAGAAAATCGCCTCTTCTGCCACGCAGCTGGAATGATTGTATTCGATTTGAAAATGAAATATTAAAAACGTTAAAAAATGCACAATTCTTTTTTTTCTGTTTTGTAAAATAAGTTAGGTCTTAACTATTTCAACTGTTCTTTCGCTTTGTACACACTTCGTCTGTGCAGTACGTGTTATTGTGGTGTCCGAGTCATACATAATGAATGGAACGTGTTTCGCAAATTTGTTTAACTCAAATTTTTTGTTTCCGGAGGGACTCCTGAAGGTGAATTATTTCGTGATTTCTTCCTGTTGTACAGTTGCTGGAAACCAGAGCGCCCTTCTTGTAAGAATGAAAAACGCAAAGATTATCAAAGACTGCAACTGAAGTCGTCTCGCTCTGTAATCTGATTTTAGCGTTTGCTTCTGGGACAAACAGATTTGGGCTTTCTTCGACGTTTCTAGAAAATTAAAAATTATGCACAAAGACTTGGTCCGTTTTGTATATGGAGACCTATAAAAAGGTCGGAGATGGCACGTCTGATTTCTCTGTATGTACTTCCTGCATATTTACATTTGTTTAAGTCTTAATTCTCCCGTTTATTTATAAACCCATTTGACAAGAACAGAATGACTGCCTCGGTTAGCTCGTATCATCGGTTCAGGCATTTAACAGCATTGCTCATTCAAATGTATTTAGTAGATTCTAAATTGCTACCGCTATAGCGCTGTTAACTGTTTTTGATGGAAAGTGCTCTTTGAAAAGTGGGTAGAACTTTTTCTGAGGGGAGGGGAGGGTGTTGGCGTTCAGACGTAGCTCTTTTCCCTCTATTTTTATTTGTCAAAGATTTTAATTGCCTGGTCTCTAATGATGCTTGTAAATTTTAATATTCTGATTGTTAATTTGGTGATGTAGTGTAGGTCCAATTATTTTTCCCTTGTTTCATGCTCGCTGGATAATGTGTGCATGCAATGTTACTATGCAGTAAATATTACAATACAGTAAAAATATATATGCACATCTGTTGGGTGTTTTTGACTGCAGTATCAACACTCCTCTGTCTTATTAGTGACCATGTGAAGATCTTTTGGAACAGTCTTGTTTAAATTGTATGATGTATTTTTATATGTATTCTATCACATGGGGATCTATCCTGCCCGAAGCCTTCCGCTGTGGTTCTCGGTATCTCTGACAATGGAAGGTAAAGGTCGCTGCCTGGCAGTCAGAAATTTAAAGGCCATCTTCAGGCAATGTGTTTCCATTCACTGCCGGTGGCTCTTTGCTGAAATTGTTCTCCCTTGGAAACGTGCTGCCTACATGACATTTGGAGAACTGTATTTGTCTCTCTTGGAGAAGGCGAGTTCCTCGAGTTTTTGGCCCGATTAGGAAATGGTCTTCAGACAACATGCATTTAATCTTTCTTTCTGTTGTGTGTGTGTGTATGAGCATTATTGTCAAAACAGGCAAGCTTAAAAGATGAGTCGCAAAGCGATTTCTGAAATTTGTGTCGAATTTCTCACTGCGTAGTTTTTTCAAACGGTTTGTGTAAAACGGGCCACCTTAAACTCGACTAGTTTAACACACTCCTCAAAGCGGTGACTATATTTAGGCTTTAAAAACAATTTGCGACTAAACTCTTTTTTTGCCGATTGAAAATCGTGCCCAGTGTGTACGTCTGGATTTTCTATGCTTGCTGAACAAGCATAAGGAGAAACAGCAACGCCGAGAGGAGAAAATCGGCTCCTGAAATTAGGGGCTGAGATTTCCTTACATGGTCCCAACAGCGAATTCAGATCAATATTTGACTTACATTTTTATCTTTAACACGTGGGTACCCCTGTGCAACTACATGGGACTGCTCCTCTGGTTAGTTTGCCTACGAAATATAAAGGAAACAATCTTTTATTGTGGAAAATAAAACTCAAACTTTTTTACACAGTTTCAAAATGTCAGTTCATGGCAAAATACATATAAATGGGAGACATTGTAGGCCCGCTCTGAACAAACAGTCTTTGAATCGGGACCTGTTCTATTAAATTTTTGAAAAATATTTTTAACTCACATATCTGTTAAGAAAACGGTGTACGTAAAACATGACTGATGTGTTTTATTGATTTTAACTCGAATGTATTTTAGAGAGAGTGGACAGACGTCGCAGGACGGAGTTTCTCATGTGGCTAAGGAATGTGTATTCGTTAAAAAAAATCATTTTGCTTAATATACAGTGACGCTGGGTTTGCCAGCGACTGTAGTAGAGTTGTATTCTTAACCGTGGGCTTTAGAAAATGTTGGTGGATGTGTATTTTCTGCCACGGGTTGTACGCACAAACCTTCGAATGTTTAGAGTGTTTATTGTGCCGACTGTAAAATAAGGCAACCCTTTCCCTAACGTACATAGCCAAATCAGCACAGATAGAGCTTCAAATAAAGATTTAGGTCTCAAGAGGTTTGTAATGTTAAAGGCTCTATATAAAGGCTTATTAAGCTTACTGTACGACATGAAAGGCCAAGAATACACAGGGGTGTTTCATTTTCAGCGTGTTATCTCTCCGGCGGGGAGAACAGTTACATTGCTTTGGGTCTGTATAATAAAATCGATACCCCGATTTCATTACATTATATATCAGAGCAGAAGAGGGTGAAGTGAATATCCTCGGCGGCTGGCGTTTATCGCCAGGCGCTTTTTATAAAAAATACACACATAAATAAATTCCTAGTTAAACGGCCAAATGAGTTTTTGTCGTCGCTCTGCTTTAAATAACCAGGTGTCTGTTTTAATTTTCATTGCAAATCACCAGTACATATCTGGAGAAAAAGAAAGCAATTTAGAGAGTATTGATATAAAACGTGTGTGTAGGAGGCACAGTGTGTGTAGGAGGCAATGTAAATGGTGTATTTATGACGATATGTGTCCACTTGGCGCTTTTCTCGTCCATCTGTCCATTTCCAAATACGATCCGCCTTTAGCGAGAGAAGCTCAGATGGGTGTACAGCAGGCATAATTACGTTTATTAAGTTCCATTTTTGACCATTTGTGTACTAACCGACAGCTACTGTTGCAGTTCTCAAATATTCGGGCCTGTTTGAATGAACAGCTTGTGCATTATTATTCCTCTTAGTTCTTGAGCAGCTGTTCCGCATGGAGCAAAAGTTCCACAAGACGGCTTTGATAAAGTTACAGTATAAATGAAAATGACGAGTATTAAGCTGGCCTAGTCGGCTTCTGCTTGCGAGGGGGGGAGCACTCAAAAGCAGGTTGCTTCTCCTGCGTGTTCTGCAAGCACTGGAAGTTGAGCCACACTTGTCCACGGCAGCAGGTTATATTAATTGCGCTGCGGAATTGCACAGGACTATACGGCATATCTGTCCTTGTCGGTGTTGCCCTTCGTACCTCGCTGGGCCTCCCCGCCTCCTCCCCCCATCGGAACCGGGGAGCGCGCAGGTTTCCCCGGGGAGACACGGAGGAATCGGCCCGTGAAACACGTCGCCGCAAACGCCCGGTGGAGAGGAGGTTGGTTGCAGGAACGGAACACGGCTCTCGAGAGATGAAAATACACCGCTTACAAATGAGACTTTGCCAGTGGAGTTTTTTTTTAAGAGAAAAAAAAACTTGACGATAACATTTCCCCCAAAAAAATATACATGGGTCACAGCCCTGAGAGCGAGGTTTAACTGTTTATCTTGAAAAGGAAAACTTTTTTTTCGAGTTCCCGACAGGCAAGGTCCTTGATCCGGGACGTCTGTAGAACTTCTGCCAGAAATTCGGGTATAAAAATAAACAGTGGGAAAATAAAAATAAAAACCCATTTTTAAATTGAACAATTCCAACCGGCCTGCGCTGTCCCAACGCGCGCTCGACGTCGGCAGGGCCTTTTCGAGCCTCAGAGCCCGTCTCTTATCATCCTGCTCCCAGCTCCGGGGCGCCAGTTTCTGCTCAAACCATTCCGCTCGCACAAACAACTTCGCGATGTGTGTAGTAACGCGGCACCTCTGTCTGGGACGATTATGTTCTGGCAACAGTTCTGCGTTGGGGAAGAGGGCGGCGGTGCTTCAGTTCTGAGCTGCCTTGTTTAAAATGGGGGGAATTGCAAGAGCTTCGTTTCTCGAGGAAGGAACAGGGGCATTTTTGTTTTCAACTTCCTGTCTTCAAGTCCTGTTAAACCCTGAACTCTACCCCGTGCATTTGTTTTTTTTAAAGGAAGATGAAAACCCGCTTTCTTTCTTGTCAGTACAAATGTAAAGATATTACAAAATGTAAAAACAGCTGGTGTAAATAATAAAATGTTTCCTTTATTATGCCCTTGCCTCTCAATTCAAGTCTGTTCATAGGTTCCGACATTTTAAATACAGCAATTCCTTGCAATATATACATGCAGAGATGTGACTTCCCACCTTTTACATTAATAACGTATTATTTTATCTATTTTTAGGATTAGCGCATTTTCTGGTGTATAGTGTATCATTCTACATCCGTGTTCTATAAGGTAGCCTCCATCTCAACCTGTTCGCTTCTAATTTGTTAAACAGGAGATAGTTACAAATGTTAAGGGGAAAAAATACAAAATCAGCTCTTGTTAACAGCAGAGCTGGGAGGAGAAAGTCACCGGATTTACAGGAAGACCAGTTTTCGCAGACGATCAGTTTAACGTCATCAGATAGTTGAGGCGTGCATCCACGCACGTGGCTTTTTCTTCCTGTTTTGAATGCTATACAGTAACATTTCCATTCAAACGCTTGTTTGTTCAACCTATATGCGCGGTGGTCCTGCTACGTGTCGTGAATTCACCGCAAAACTCACGTGAACGGATACATTTAAGTATTCGGAGTTTGTCTCGTGAAAAGTTGCAGCACAATCTTCTGGTAAGTGAAAAATGTTTATTATATGTATATTGTAATACGGATTTATTGTCAACAAAAAGCCAGCGTGTAAGTAGTGAGGACCACATCTGTAAGTTATGGCATCCATATCGTCGGTGAATATGAACGTTCTTCAAAACCAGAATGACCACATCTCGGTAGCCTAGGTTTTAGGATGGGAAATACGGCGTCTGTTTGTTCTTGTTGACGTCTTTGTTCTGACGTCACTTCTGGGTTACCCTTGACCGTGACTATGCAGTCACTTTGACCTTGACATCACAGCCGCTCGTGCATAGAAAGTAGTAGTGATGGTGGGGGGCGACTCGGAAGCTTTCTGTCGGTGGGGTTGCTAATGCGCGCGGTTTGTTTGCAGCTAAACAAGGTGCTGTTTCCCCGTCTAGACAGCTCGGGTTAATGACGCACCATAAATGAATAAAGAGAGGAAGCGCGCTGTTATCCCCTGGTCTTAACTTCTTTTCCCTGTCCTGTGTCTTCCATGAAAAAAAATAACGTAAAGCAAAACTAATATTGCCTTTCTTTTCTTTTTTCTAAAGATATTCTACATTTCAATCAAGTGAATTCTGGGAACACATTTCCCTGCTGATTCCCTGCTCTGTCTTAATGTTTTTAAATTTTCTTCGATCTTTTCAGTTTCTTTTTCCTTGCAGGTGTGGGATATTAGGTTAGCCAAGCACAGGTAGAAACGTTGGCGTAAACGTTTTAAAATCCACGAGCTTTTAAGATGTCTAAAGCGATCATCGGTATTATTCAGTGAAAAATGGCCGTTTCTCCTTCTTAAAAGAGAGCTGACGTCGCCTGTACACACACATTCCGAGGTATGTGTTCTCGACTGCACCTATTAAAAACACAAAAATACAAAAATAAGTGTTTTGTACTCCAGTGACACACTTGGTAGGTGTTTTGCGAGTGTGGACAGTCAATTTCGTTCATTCAAGCCTATTTCAAGTGTCGGTCCGCTACACACCAAGTAACCGGAGTGTTGTGTGATTACTGGCCTGTAGCTCACGTGTTGGTTTATTTTTTTTTTTGGCAACTTAATCCTAATTTACCCAAACACAGATCCACGTTACATAAAAAAGCTTTGCGGTTCTAAATTACAACGTTTCAAATCTTGTTCTGGTATAATGTGTTTATG